CTGCATAGGGTCCTAAACTATGCTTCACAGGAGCTTTCACCATGATTGGTAATGGCCAATGGGAAATTTGGGCAGGATGCCAGGGTTACACCGCTAGTCTTTTTGAGAAACACTCTAGGATTTTAATTGAGCACAGAGATTCCCGACCTCAGTTTTACGTCTCATCCAAAGGAGAGCGCCTTTTTACAGTATAGTGTCCCCGTCACTATACTGGGGCTTTAAGACCCTCACAGACAGCAGGGTGAGCGCCCCCTGCTGGCCCCACTAACACCTCTTCCAGCAGCAACCTTAGTTTTTCCCAGGAGGCCTCCCATCCAGGTACTCTGGATGTTTACATTTTGGGATCATCCACGAACTTGACTAGTTTAGTCAAGAACCAAGATCACGCATATTAATTAGGATGCGCAAAGCGCTTTTGATTTTTAAGCAGTTTCAGCGGCACTTGATCGGTTCAAACGCAAAACCATGGGCTCCTTTTTCTGTTGCTGCAATACGCATTCTGGCCAGAAGATGGCGACAGAGGCAGTTTAATAAAATAAAATATCGCTGTAAATTAAAATTGTTTTTAACGAAAGTTACAAAACTTCAGTTTGCAAAAAATCATTAAAAGCGTGGAAAACTAACTATTTGTATTTAAAGTGTTGAATGCTGAGGATTCAAACTTTTTTTATCGATGGCAGCACTGTTGTGATAATTCTCTCTGAATGCGAAGTTCTTGAGTTTATGACCTCCAGTAAAGTAAATACATTTTAGTGTTAATTTGACCGAGATAATGTGAAGTCTAATACTAAAAAAAAATGTGACTACAGTACTGTCAACGAGGGAGAAGGATTTCGCACGCTACTACTCAAATTAATCTGTTCGCCCACAATTTCAACCTGAAATGTATGTCTCCCAGAATCAACACATACTTTGCTATACGCAGCAAATCCCACCAGCACAAGGTCGACCGGTGGATTAGTCTTTGCAACCAGCGTAGCTCTTAAGACTCCCCGGAAACCATAAGGACTGCAAACTGGAAAAAAAAACATTTGACGGGACATCGGAGTTTACTACTGAAAACGACGCATGCTCAAGTGAACAACTGAAATACTGTGTATTAAAGTGTTTCTGTTTAAGTTGTTACGCTACTCGCTTATGAGAGTTGTCGGGTACAAATTTGTTCAAAAGTGATTAATCTGAGGAATCTTCTTAGAGTATTATATACTCAATGAGAACAAACAACGAACCTGACAAGAAGATATTTACAGTAGGTGTCCCTACTTTTATTAGATTGGCGTGCACCGCCTTCCCCAAAAGTAAGCTCTTAAAGGTGTTCGACATTCGATTGGAATTATTAGTACACATTAAGAATTAAGGCCCGAGACTCAACAATAAGACTCTAGAAATATTGACAGCCGTAGTTCCATCTTTTTTAAAAAAAAGGTAAAACAGAGTACTGTACCTCTAACTAAAACCCCACTTATTCAAAATACTGAAAGCAATTCTATAATACTACTTCTTGCCACTGGTGTCGCTAGTGCAACGCCCACAAGCAGATAGAAGGAACTGTCCAATTTTATGTGGTCCTGAAAAAGTGTAACGCCGCCTTGAACCTTGGGTTAGTCAGTAAGATCACTGTATTAGCCACATACAATTTCTTGGATTAGGAATTCGTCTTTTTGCATACCTCAACTTGCTCTCCATGAGACACACAGACAGGGAGAGAAGCCTGGGGTCAGAGCGAAGGGTCAGCCATTGTACAGCACCCCTGGAGCAGTTGGGGTTAAGGGCCTTGCTCAGGAGCCCAACGTAATGTTGCTTAATCATTTATTTGCTTTTTACGTTACTTTTTAATAGATCGCGTTAATCGCCTTGTGACATAAGTTCCCCTTATGGACAATTGTACACTTTTCAATACTTTTGAATTACATCTGAAGACATCTATCTGGCTTAATCTGATAATCGAATTTATTTAAGTTTATTTTTAATTGCAAGAAAATGTGCCTCCCTTGGTTCTTACTGACAGCAATTGCATCACAAAGTAGACGTAACTTATAGACTCAGTATTTCGCATGTAATGCACAGTATGTTAGAAGTTTATTTGATTAATAATCGAAAGTGGTGGTCCCGTGTATGGCGGTACGGAGAGAATTTAGAGTGGAAGGGAGATGTATTTTTTGTATTTTTTTTTTAGAAAATTCAGAAAATAAATGAAAATGGTTCAAAAACAATATCCATTATATATCATATCCATTATGTTCCGTGTAACAGTCTTAAGTCTTACATTATACAGGAAATACACTAGCAACAAGAAGCGGTTCCTATTGAATATGGTAATCTTTGCGACTCTATCGACCTGTACAGCCTAAGGTTAATTCTTTCAGCTGTCTCATCTCTGGCTTTAAACCTGCGTTCTGCACTAGCCTCTGTAAGTGTACCAGGATTGATTTATAGTACCAGCGGGGATGTTAATCAGAGTGCTCCTATCCAATTAATGCACTCTGTTTGAAATGAATATTGCGTGCAGCCAACACTGGCAAATTGACCCCACAGATCGAGGAGTGATTTATACACTCGATGAAAAAACCTTGCTGAAAGATTCATTTTCTGTTTATTTCGAGTTTGTTGCTTATAAAATCGTTAGTTTAAAAGCAGGACATTTAACGAAAACCCTCCTAAGTGTAAATTTGATAAAAACGTACCGTTAGTTCACAAATTGTGAACTACTGTAGGCTGACATCAATCGGTTCCAATGCTTTCAATTTTAATTGTTGTTTCTGTTACAACAGACATCCCATACTGTTTCTTCATACTGGAACCTAGGGAGTGTATTTTAATATCGTAGGAAATCACATTTCATATTTTTTTAGAGGACGATTCCTCTTAAAGTTTTCTAATTGAATGTTGTTACAGAATACTGATCTGTTTAGATAACAACACATTTCATTGTTCAAAACTATAATATAGTGTCAGCCAGCCTAACTGAATATTTCTAAAAGAAGATCATACGCAAAAACAAATCTTACGATTTGTAAGAAAATGAGGAATGCGGTAGAATCTAATCATTCATTGATTAATTCCAATGTTGTTTCTTGTTTGGAGTGCACTCGGTGCCGGATGGGATGTCCGGTGTCCTTCAAAAGCACTGTTAAAACAGCGAAATGCAAACGGACAGGACGCTCTTTTTCACTAGGGGGCAGTCTAAGGGAACGAAATATTGAGAGCCGCTTTTGTGTGCAGGAAATAGCTTAGCGGTCCAATTTACTGCGGCTGCTACAGTATACCTGACAGGGGTCGAGTCCGGAAGGACCACGTTATTTAATGTAAAATGCCTTTATAAAAGTCGGGGAGTCCAAGAACAGGAGAAACTGATTTTTTTTTTCTTTTGCCTTCTAAATCAACTACATTAAAACGTTCTGTAAAATATGGTCGACTACATGTCCGTTTGGAACCGTGAACTAAAAGTCCGAATAAAAAGATAATGGGGAGAAATTCTAGTCCCTTACTGTAAATTGCTCGATCTTCAGTAAACACCCAGGGTATTCTTAATTTTATCTGAATAAACTAAAGTTGTACTTTTTAAATCAAGGGCTCCAAATCATATACGAGCTCCAACATTGTTAAAAGGTCGATATCGTCCACATTGAAAAGTAACACGAACTGTTACGCAACACAAATTATTCGCAATTCATCGTAGTAGCTGTGCTAGCTGCCACGGAACTACTCTTCTGAAAGAGAGAAGAGTGCAGCTTTGGCCACGGGGTACGACTTCTGTATTCACAAAAGTATGTTTAAAACGCAGGCAATTCTAAGCACTACATTAAGCTATTTTGAAGCTTAATGTGGTGTAATTATTCTCAATGTTAACATCTGTTTGGAGGGTTCGCTAATTATACGTTTAGTGATAACTGTATCCATACCGATACATCCATATTAATGTTCATTAGTAAGATTATCTAGGCACTACCTTAGAGCAACGCTGGTTTTGGAGCAGGCTAGTCTACATTATGAGCAGATTGGACAAGCTGATTGATAGTCGCATGAAACTCCCTTGACACACAGTTCCTCGAGGAAAGAGTGAAACCAGCTGAATGACCAGTATTCATGTTACAGTTAAGTAGTTCAAAGTCTGGCTACAAAGTCTTTGTGGAAAATTTATTGCGGCCATACTGTACAGTACCTCTTTTTCACGTAATGTAGGAAGGAGGCGAATGATACTTGGAAAGTACCTCACGCCTGCATTTTCTGAGCTGTAAGATCTAGTCTTGAGTTATTCTATTTTCATCCGATCATCCTATATTTCATCCTATATTGGAAGGCAAACAGCGACGGAAACCTTAACCAAGTAATCCTCATTTTTCATTCCATAATGTTTCTCAACGTGTCAAAAACTAATGTCATTGATAAATGGGCTATATTATTGGGGGTTGTCATTTTCTGCGTACGTTGATAATTGCGCGGGTGTCCTGTCATGGAATTGGTGGACTGAGTGCCCAGTTACTTTCGTAGAAACATTTCAAGTCAAATGTGTTGTTAAAGACCGCATTAATCTTACTAAAATGTGATGCTGGGTTGCAACTTTGTAAGTTACGTTCATGACAAAGCATTCCCTAAGATAAATATTCCAACATACATTTTGCTCACTCACTTTTCATTCACAAAAAAACGCACTACAGTACATGGAGGGTGCGTTTTAGAGAATATACCCACCGTGCAGGGTAGCCGAACGTCCCATCGTCTCTGACCAGCCCAAACGTCTCATTGAAAAAAAAATGTTTATACAACAACCTTTGCCTCGTGTGCCCTGATAAACGAAACATGACAAAGCAGAAAGTCTTTGCTTGAAAAGCGTACAAATCGTGATGTATGTGATAAATATCATTAAAAAACGGTCAGTCATCTGTACTGAAGTCAGTTCTGATTTTACCCGTCCCCTGGTAGTTAAGTAATATGCTGCAGCTTGTTATTGGGTAAGGCCATGACATGTGTTAAATTAGCAAAAAAGACGCTGGCTGAGGAACCACTCGGGGGGATAAACCAGTAGTGCGTCACAGCCCTTGGAAAAAAAAAGAAAAAGAAGAGAAGCAAAGAATCAACAAACACGCGAGTCCATCCGTGCCAATGGCAACAAAAGCAGTATTGCTGATCTCAGAAGAGAACACACCTCGCAGTACTACAGGTGGCGGAAGATATGAATTTCGGGAGCAGTGCTCCTGGTTTTCGTAAGAGCTGCAAACTTACCAGACGCGCCGCTTATTGATATGGAGGACGCCCAGGTAAAACCGTGATTTGGAGAAAGTAAAAGGTTTGGCCGCGGCGCCGTTGCTACAGTACCTGATCGATGAAATGAAATAACATCGGATCGACGAGAATGAATCCCAGTGTCTCCAAATAAGGCTGAGGAAAAGACACGTAATATGAAGAGCTTTCGCAGAAACGGGTAAAAAAAAAGTTCGCTGCATATTAAGACTTCAGCGCGTATCGAGAGAATTCAGACGCAGAAACATCAATGTGCAGACAGCGCACCATCTGCGCGCCTCTGATTTCGGTGTAAAAGAAAGATCTGCCTGTGTTGCCGCGAGGAAGAAAGTTTCCTGAAAGTGAGAGGAATTATGGCTTCTGAAGGGTCATCGGGGCTGGCTAAATCTGCAGCTGTGAAATTATCGGAGATGGGGGAAAGAACTAAACAGTTAGGTACCGCTATGCAGGATCCCCATCGACAAAGAAGGATTATTTTAGTGATTGTCTGTGTCGCACTCCTGTTAGACAACATGCTGTATATGGTTATCGTGCCGATTATACCCGATTATTTGTTATATTTAGAGAAGGAACAGTCATCTGGAAACTCTAGCTCTTCAGTCAACAACACCGAAAACTTAGATATAAAAATAGGAGTTCTCTTTGCATCGAAGGCTATTTTACAGCTTCTAGTTAACCCCTTAAGCGGGACCTTTATAGACCGAGTTGGGTACGACATCCCGCTTTTAATTGGGCTTAGTGTCATGTTTGTTTCTACTTGTATATTTGCCTTTGCTGAAAATTACGCCACGCTATTCGTAGCTAGAAGTCTGCAGGGTCTGGGGTCGGCCTTTGCCGATACTTCTGGGATCGCCATGATAGCCGACAAATATACGGAAGAGGCCGAAAGAAGCAGAGCCCTTGGCATCGCGCTGGCGTTCATCTCATTCGGGAGCCTGGTGGCGCCCCCCTTCGGAAGCACATTATACGAATTCGCCGGGAAGAGTGTTCCCTTCATCGTGCTTGCCTGCGTCTGCCTGCTAGACGGCATTTTGTTGCTGACTGTGATCAAACCCTTCTCAAACAGGACTAGAGAGAACATGCCAGTAGGCACCCCTATATACAAACTCATGATTGACCCATACATTGCTGTTGTGGCGGGAGCCCTGACGACCTGTAACATTCCTCTGGCCTTCCTGGAACCTACAATAGCCAACTGGATGGAGAGCACCATGCACGCCACAAAATGGGAGATGGGACTGACCTGGCTGCCAGCATTCTTCCCCCACATTCTGGGTGTGTACATCACTGTCAAATTAGCTGCAGAGTATCCTAACTACCAGTGGTTTTATGGAGCTGTCGGCATGGTTATCATAGGGGCCAGCTCCTGCACTGTCCCAGCCTGTAGGAACTTTGGACAGCTCATTGTGCCGTTGTGTGGCATCTGCTTTGGCATTGCCCTGGTGGACACTGCCCTCCTGCCCACCCTTGCTTTTCTAGTGGACGTCCGCCATGTGTCAGTCTATGGTAGTGTCTATGCCATTGCAGATATCTCCTACTCTGTCGCTTATGCCATGGGGCCCATAGTGGCTGGCCAGATAGTCCACAACCTGGGCTTTGTGCAGCTGAATCTGGGTATGGGCCTCGTCAATGTCCTCTATGCCCCTGCCCTCCTCATCCTCCGAAACGTGTACCAAATGAAGCCCTCTCACTCGGAGAGAAACATCCTTCTGGAAGAGGGACCAAAAGGGCTGTACGATACCATAAAGATGGAAGAGCGAAAGGCCAAGAAGAAGAGCTTTGTTAGCTCCGCTGGAAACTACGTCCCCGGAGACGAGAACGGAATTGACACTTATAGAGGACAACAGGCAAGTAGGTCATTTTCTGAAGAGGACTCTTCCGGGCCTGAGTACAGTTAAAAGGAAATGAGAAAGACATGTAATGAAAATGATTTTTTGTGACTGTTCAGAATAGTATCTTCCATGTTATGTACCAATGTGCAATATAATATTTACTGTACCTAACCTAATCATGGCTGTGTTACTAAGGAACTTCCAGATGATTTTTTTTTGTTTCTTGCAAAAATAACTCCCTAAAGCAATGATGATACATTTTATGAATCCTATTTTTTCAAGTCTGTAGTGAAACGTTCATTAACTCTAGATGTATAATCAAAGTATTGTGAAAAGTTTACTAAGATTGATGGGTTGTGCATAAATATTGTACATCATTGTAAAAAGTTAAATATATGTATTCCAAAAATCTATCTGAATATTCAGGGACCTAAGCGTAAATTGATAAATAGTGTATATAAGTGTCATATTCTTTTCTTTAACAGTATTGTACGCTCTGTAACCACCTTGCCTGATGTGTGCTGCTACAATAAACATGCAATATGTCATATTAAACTCTGAAACATTAAGGATTACTTAAGTGTGACAAATCGAATCCCGAGTTTGAAAGGGTGTCTGTATTCAGTGTTGATTATTTTTTTAGATGACGTAATTTCCAGAATGCAAAGATGTACTATATGAAACTGCAAAATGTAGATATGTGCATATTAACTATGTAAATAATTAAACACGTAATATGTGGGTAATTATGTGTGCGTGTATATCTTCATAGGATAAGAATCTATTATATAATTCTATGGTACGAGCCCTGACAGTGGGAAAGCTCCAAATATTTTATAAAACCAAACTTAAATGTAACCATTTCGTTACATATATGAAAGCTTTATTCATATATAAAAACAAAACATTTGACACAATGTTTTATTAAATAACAAATTAACATTCAATCGTATAGTAAAAATAAGGTTTCGAGTAGCCTTACAGGTATGTGCCGTAGGTCAATACTGTATTCTTCAAAATGTGCGAGACCGTACGCAACAAAACATTAGTTGAATCTAGAATTTCAAGCAATCATCAGTACGTAGGCAAGTGACAAAGTATTATAATTATAAGAATAATGAAATGGTCACGCAAGAAAAGTTCGATCGCTCGATCTGTTTTCAAAAACGAATATACAGTATCGAAAAGAGTTGAAGACCTTTTAACTTTAAATATCTAGTTTACCCTGAAGGTTGGTACATTTTGATCCATTTAAAATAGATCATTCCATTTCAACACCAGAAAATATCGAATATCGATAGTGTTAAAAGACCTTGAATTTAAATATTTCGGTAGTAAGCTGGATTGATGGGAGGAAAAATTAAAGGAAAATAGACTACCTGCACCACATTTATATGACCTTTTCTAAAGTGGGCGCAACATTCAGATGTTGATGAGCGTTATGTCAATGTTTTTTTAATTTAAAAATGCCGATGTAGAAAAGCTACCAAAACGGAGAAATGTACGTCTGAAGTGGCATTGATAGAAACTACAATATGGGCAAAGCCAAGGCTACACAGCCTATTCATAGCAAATAAATTAAACCGAGGGATGAAAAATACTTTGCCATTTCCCATGAGTCACATTCGTTTCAGTTTGTTTTATAATCATATAAAGGGAAACTAATAGAAACTTTTAATTAAAGCCCGACGGAGCCATCGATCCTGTGACGGGTTCTCCCTCATGAAAGGCTGTTCTGTGAAATAACATCAGAATGGCCAAATCGTTTTCTCGAACATTTATCATAGTTACATAAGTAAACATGAAAGATGGTTGATTTTGATGTAATAATATTTGTATTCAGCTACATTTTTAACTAAATGATTACATTATATTTGTAATCTGTCTTAAGGTACCCACAAGTGCCTTTTTAAACTGCGTTTGATAAATGGCCTATATTTTTTCCTTAATGTCACAAGTATATGCTTCAGTGATTATGCTTAATATCCTAATTAATTATTCCGGAGTCGGGACTCTTTAAGTAGAACGTTAAAGGGTAACATCCTGAGAACTTCTCTGTCTTATGCTTTTATTTAAAAAAAACACTAAATCGAGTTTTTTCTATCCAAATCTACTTAAAACAATTTTTGATACATACTGTAGACCTACAGTATTACTGTTCTCAGAGAGCTGCTTACAAACATAACGTTTCACGAAAAGGCGCTGCTTATTCTATCTTTTTTCCGAGATGCATAGCACTGCAATGCCATTTTCTAAAGATTTACCGGAATTAAAACCTTTTGAGGAAAAAGAATATCACCTGTTGATTAAAGACCCCTTTTTCGTAATGATACTGGAATACTCTGTGGTTTCGGCTGTGTTATTAGAGAAACGAAAGTCTGTGAGTCTGTATCCCACAAGCTCCAACTCTCCATGTGAGGTGGGCTGGAAAGCCAGGCTGTCATATATAAGTGTTCCACGAATAGACCTTTGTGGGAGGAGTTCTTCTCCCGGCAAGAGTAGGTAGAGACGAGCACCTCCAAGCATCTTTACTGAGCCCGTGCTGAAGAACTCAGTAATGGGTGGGATGCAATGATGCTGAAGAGGCGGCTGAATGGAAAGCATCCGTCCAGTCTGCTTACAGTAGCATTCCTGCAAAGGAAAATGTTCCTCCACCACTGGACTCCATACAAGCATGGATGGGACACTCAATGTAACTGAGGCAACTTCGTTCTCTTGACGGTCCTGCAGAGCACCTAGGTAAGTAAGACACAACGCAGTATGGGCACTAGGTGCTTTAAAGTTTAAGCCTTTATTCTTAAACGATACTTAAATAATTGGACAATGGTGTCCATTAAGTAGTTGTGGAACCGCGCTAAATTCGTCCGGATTTGGTTTCTGTAATGGTATAGACCCGCATTGTGCAGTATGCTTGAGGGATGATGAAGGGTTGGGTCATTGAAGCATTGTAAGTACTGTACAACGCGAGACACGAAATGAAAAAAAAAAGTCTTAATGCATCGATGGACTACTAAATTGTTGAAAACTGTAAGACGTGAATGGGAGAGGGAGTTCAGTCGAGAAAATAAATAGTTGCATGTGTATTTCCTGAATACGCAAAACCGTGTTCACGAGATTCATCGATACCTTCATTAGTCAGTAATCTATGATTACAGCAGGCTGTGTTAACGAATGTTTGACAGCAGCCTTTTAGGCAAAGGCGTTGCGAGTCAACATTTCATTTGCTTCACGTTGTTCTGGCTTTGCGAGTTCAATTTGTTTTCTGTTGGTACAGAGAGAGAAGACTTCGCAGCGTTTCTCCTGGCGGGAGCCGCTGACCACCCAACTTCAAGAATGCCTGTCTTGGAGCAAGGAAAACCAACAGGCCGGAGGGACAGCTATGTAAATATAACTCTTATTTCTACTGTCATCACTCGGCGCCATTTCCATCGTTTACAGCACATTAATTAAAGGAGTAATACAAAATTACTTTACATTTCGATGTAAAGCTGTCTCAGTATCGGAAACCTAAAGGAATGCAACGTTAAAATGGGCAGAGACATCGAATTAATCATGCGATTTCATGATTCTTATTTTTTTGGGAGAGACTTGGAACTTGTTTTTTTTTTAGAAGTATAATGATAACAAAAGCCCAAAGGTTATTAGAGTGATTGTCTGCATGCACGTTGATACAATCTAATTTATACAGCCAAAGATTTTGTGATTTTACTTGTACAAACTTTGTTAATTATCTGAATGTCCAAATAAATGTCCAATAAGAGTCCTTTCATCAATAATGTGTTTGGGTTATACAGATGGTAGGTTTCTTACGTAGGTAAACAAAGATTTTCATTGATTTGTTTTACCTAGGATGGAAGTGACTATTCTATTCAAGGAACAATGATAACATTCTAACCACTCTGTGAACACACACAAGGCTAAGATGTTTCACCCTGAGCTGATTTTAAAGTTTTAGGTTCTATAAATCCTTAAAATTTGAAAAGAACCGATGCACCAAGTCTGTCATTTTTGCTTTGTTACATCAAAATCAGGTGAACAAAATATACTGTAGGCTTTAAAAAGAATTTGAATGTTGCTTTCATTTCACACTTTTATGTAAGGGCATCTTACAGAAATAGATGGCAGTCTTAATGAGTTTTGGGAAAGTTTTTAGTGGCATTAAACTACTGTACACTTCATAAAAAGTAATAAGCTACTAACACTCAGCTATGTATTCCTAAATCATATTTAAATGAGAAATATATGACTTGTTAATTAGTGTTGTTAATTCTTATTAGAGGCTAGTTTTAATTTTGTTATTGGCTCAGTTGATATATTTCAGGTCTTGAATCATTTGTAAATGGAACTGCAATTCCAAGGCTAAAGTATTAACAAAGTTTGTAGTAGGTAATTTCAGTTAAAGGAGCTTTATATTAAAGAGATCTATAGGCCCAATTTTAATAAAAACAGAGGATTTCTTAAGTCACTTGTTTTCATTAACTCATAAAATGAACTTCTCTGCAAAACTTAACTTGAAAATACATTGATGTCTGACTTTGAACTTGATTTCTCCCTTTTCATAGCATGAAAAGGGAGAAATCCCACAATGCCTGCCATTGAGTTAAATTGACACTGTTTTTTTCCCTCTTTTCCTTATATGAAAACAACACAAATATTTCAATATGCTATCTTAGGAATTACAGTACTAAAAGGTATTCAAATGATATTTTTATGTATTCTTGGAAGTGTGCGGAGTTTATATTTTCTACTTCAAAATGGAAAAATGGAGTTCAGGATACATTTCGTTCCAATTTGCAAAAAATATTTTGGATTCCGTACTAGTTCAAGACTAACGATTCACTTGGATACCATCTTTAGTTCACTAAATCTTAAATATACCTTGTAACAAAAAATATGGTTCAAAGTAACTGCACCATATTGGTATTTAAATGCATTTAAATTACAGATTGATTGGGTCCTATTTGGCTGTCCTTTCCAAATTGTTGTAGATTTAGGACCATTTTTTTGTAGGGTCAGGAAGCCAGAAATAAAAAACACTATATATTAAAAAGATACTGCTATGTGTTTAGGGAGAATGTGAGCCTGTCACTCAATATTTTCATTATATCTTAGAAACTTGAGAACTTTGTTTAAAGTATTTCACATGTAATATACATTTAAGAGCATTAAAATACTATTCAACTTCTTCATTCTCATACAACACCTCATTACAAAGAACAGATATCCTAAAAATCTTTGAATATTGCTACTATTACATTATCATACATTATTGTTATGCCTTTAAATGCTAAAAAGAAAGGAAATGTGCTTGTATTCATTGCATGTAAGTATCAAATAGTGAATATTGTTTCCTTATTTCTTTACTAACCAACTCAGCAGAAGCTATCCAGTATTTTCTGGACAAGAAAATGCTATAAAGATTTTATACATTCTGTAAATGTAGAAAACATTGCCAACAATCTGTTTGAGGCGCTTTAAATGCAATTAAATTACATTTTGGAACTGTAAAAAACAAGGTGCATTGCCATCGCTTTTATCATATTCCCCCAAGTTCCACACACATTGGAAGTATAATTAATTATGTATTAATTAACATATTACATCTGCAAATTAAAGGTTTTTAAATTTAAATAGAAATACATGAAAGACTGTTAAAGGTGAAGTAGAGTATGAGCTTAATTAGCTGTATTTTTAGTTGTGTAGAAGACATCCAGACACGTTTTAACAGAGAACAAAAAGCAACATTTACCCAAAGGCAGAGGGAGCCGCACAATTATCCTCTATGGGTCTCTAAGCAGCATTGACTATAGCTCCTAGGTACAAGCTTGAAGAAAACAGTAATTATAATCATACTGGCTGTCTCCCCCTGTCTATTTAGACTATAGATCATTTTAAACAGTATGGTCATCTTTCTTTGGTAAGGTGTTGCCCAAGCTGCCAGTGCCATCTTTAGAACAGACTCTGGACATGTACCTGAAGTGTATGAAACACCTAGTGACTGAAGAGCAATTCAGAAGGACCAAAGCCATCGTGGAGAAGTTTGGGGCACCAGGAGGCATTGGAGAACTATTACAAACAAAGCTGCAAGAGAAGAGGGACAAAACTGATAACTGGGTGAGGGCTTTTAATATGATATGGAGTTTATGGATTAATATCTACATCATGCAGTTGCAAAAAGGCAATTTACTGTATATTGCATGACATCCATTCAATTGTCATGCATTCATCACAGATAATTTGCAATGCTAGTATGAATTCGGGGTCTGCATCATCTTTGTGATCTTAAAAACAACCTTAATTTTAATTGTTGATAAATACTAAAAGCAGTGTGTTGTAGTATTGTGCATAAAATAACACTTAATTGTCTAGGACTAATTATAGCCTTTATACCTTGATTATCTGGTGCATTTAATCACTAAGATTCATGTTTCTAAAAGCTAGCTATCTTGTGTGTATTGATCAATAATGAAGGTGACAAGATTTGGTGAAGGTTTGCACTGATTGAACACGTGCTCTGTGTCAAAGTAGACACAACATTGGTAGATGTTGCACAAAAAAGAAAGAAGAAAAATATGAAGGTGTGTGCCTTAATACAGTATGAAATCAATCACGCTAGCTTCCACTAAGTCCAATCAATCAAGACCACAACCATGCAGTCATCTGAGGATTAATTCAGTGAAATCTATCAAAAACCCTGGGCTGCAACAGTTCACTCACTCTCCCTCAAGATACCTAACAGCCCTGTAGTATTAATGGCCTTATTAATGGCCATCCATGAGACTTAAGGCTATTTCAACTCATCAAAGGTTTTTCCAGCACACACCTAACAATAGAAACACAGGTAATTCGTTTTGGGATCTCACTTAAAAAGGGCAAATGGGAGGGAGGTTATTATCATTCAGTTGCAAATAAGTATCCTTTTATTCTTTAGGTGTATGATTACTGGCTGGAAGATATGTACCTGAATAACAGATTGGCCCTACCTGTCAACTCCAGCCCTGCTATGGTCTTCCCTCCACAGAACTTCAGGGATCGAGGTGATCTTCTCAGGTACCAAACTCATGACAGATTGTGTGAGAGACATACATCAGTCTGTTCCTCCTGTATTGTTGGTGGTTTGTGAGGACATATGAAACATGACCCAAAAACACAGAAACTGTTATACTGACTAGTGATGCAAGTTCCACTTTAGCTCTCACCATCCATCTATTTTCCAAACCCCTGAATCCAATTCAGTGTTGAAGGGAAGCCAGAGGCTATTTCAGCAAACAACAGGCACAAGGCAAGATACACCATTGATGGGGTGCCAGTCCATCACATAGCTCTCAATACCTTACTAAGTGTGCATTATTTAAATGAATAACTGCACAAGAGTGCTGAGTATTTGCTCAGATATTTCACAGTACAGCAGAGAGAACATAGCAACATAGGAACAAGTAATGGGTTTATTAATGGGTTTATTCCACGCTGAAAAGAGAAGAGAGAAAACACAACATTTCGACTGTGAAGCCTTCTTCAGGTGAGCACAATCCACTCTACATTCAGGCTACGCAGGCTGACGCAGCTACACACCTGAACTACTTTATAGTAACATGCTTTGTTAACATCTGTAAAACTGGTTAGTTTCAGTTATGAAAGTGAAAACAATTACACTTGCATTGAGAAGAAGTTGTTATTGAAAACTACCTTCACATACTGAATGTTTGTTTTAGAATATAAGATATGTTTTAAGTCCTAGAAAGTTATCTACTTACTGTTTATTGAAGACTCAATGATTATTTTCCAGGCAACACTGTACTGTATGTCACTGATATTCACTCCTGGTCCTACAGGGCCTCTGTCCTCATCATCCTCATTGAGAAACAGTGGTACTATACAACTGTTAAGTGGACAATTGATACAAATCAAGTCATTAAGAGTCCAGGGGGGAATGAAAGCCAGAAACTATGGTGACCTTCCAGGACCAGAAGTGAATGTCAGTGCTTTGTGCACTGAGAGAAGTGCTTATTAAATTAAATAACCTACAATCTGTATGATCTTTATCTACTTTATCTGTAGATAGCTAAATATCTTCTGAGATATATACAGTACAGCTTGTTTAATTGCCAGCAAAGGCTGTGTTGTCAGTGTTTTCCTATTGGTCTGGCTTTGTGTGTCAGAACCTGATAAATTAGGCAAGACATAAGGAATGATGTTTCTATCTGTGTTTTCTGTAACGTGATACAGTTACCATCTCTGTCACACAAAGAGCAAGCAGCTGCATATTCTTGTAATTTACCCACAATTAAATTATCTTTTCCACTCTGACAGGCAGAAAGGTGGAGGGAGATGCAACAATGTGTAGAACAAATGTACAGTCTGAAACGTGCCAGAGAGCTTCAGGGATAAGCATTTGAAGCTTTTGTTTCTGTGTCTTTTGAGATAAAATAGACGTGGTCCAGTGTTATAAAGAGTAAAGAGGTGTAAAAACAATGTCTTAAAGCTGTAAGGAGTTTTTTTTTGCTTTTTTTCCTGCTAGGTTTGCTGCTAATCTCATTTCAGGAGTGTTGGATTATAAAGGTCTACTTGATGCGTAAGTTCTTTCTCATTTTTTAAAAGGCCCCTAAAGGTAATACATGTGCCTCATCACCTGAATAACACCGAGAATTAACCTAAAAGTTGAAAATAAAGAGCTGCTAGTCCACAATGCACAGATAGGTGCTGTATGTAGACTAGCAGTAGGAATGTAACCTGGAGGATGCTGTGTCTGTGTGTCCCAGACATGCCCTGCCTGAAGACTATGCTCGAGGCCAGCTGGCTGGGACTCCGCTGTGCATGGAGCAGTATTACCGACTCTTCTCCTCTTATCGACTGCCTGGACAGAAGAAGGATACCCTGGTTGCCCAGAAGAGCAGTGTCATGCCAGAGCCTGAACACATCATTGTTGCTTGTAAAAATCAGGTCAGCATCCACGTGTATTGATAAAAGAGCAACTGGGTGTCATTCAGAGTCATCCAGTAATACTGAGCAAGGGCTAGGCACTCCCTGTCACACATTGTTATCACACTGTTAATCCCAATTACAGGTAGTTCTCTGCTACCTTCAAAGAAAACTATGCAACAACATTTTCCAAGGTTTCCACAGAAAGATATGTAAAGCATATAAACACTGGTAAACATTTAAAAAAGTACAGTAGGTCAAATATGCATAAAGTTAGAAACAAGTTCTAATAGGTAGCTGTGTCAGCTGCAAAGGAACAGGTAAAGGTTTTTTCCACGCTGAAAACGGAAGAAGAGAAGCACAACGTTTTGGCTGTGGAGTCTTCTACAGGTGAACACACCTGTGTTTCTTTTCTTCTCTTTTCAGTGTGAAATAAACCTTTACTTGTTCCAAATTCAAAACAAGTAGAGGTAATTCCAAGCTGAAAAGTAGAAAGTAAAAAAAAAACAACAACATTTTGACTGTGGAGCCATTTGCTGAGCATGCAGTTCTTCACATATGAAGAGGACTTCACAGCTAAAATGTTTTATGTTTCTTTCTACTTTTCAGCTTGGAAATAACCCCTACTTCTCCATTTTCACCCAGCACTCACTGAAGCATCTACCCACTCGAACCTCATGTATATGATTATGCCAAGGACAATGAAATCCTGCAGATTCAACTGTTGTGTAATAAAAAATATACTTACTGATTGAGCCCTATTTTATTTTGCATTTCCAAAGTTTAATGCATGGAGTTTTGCATTAAATTTGCCTGAATAATGCATGAAAATACAGAAAATCCAGAAAATGCATGGAGTTTTGCATTAAATTTGCCTGAATAATGCATGCAAATCCAGAATTGGTAAATACAGTACAGAAAGCATACTTTGAGAGTCTAAATAAGTGCAAACCCTTCCCCTGGGATGTGCAAAACACAGAACTAAGTTATTGTTAATGTTAGAACTGAGTCATTTGTTTGTTAATATATTCACAAGACACGACATAAGAGTATTCAAAAATACTGGAAATTACCTCCATTGAAAGGTGTTGTTTTATGGCTGGCTACAAAGATTCTTGAATAATAAAATAATCGACTAAGGCTTCTGGCTTTACAGTTTTGGCTTAGAAAAAAGTTACAATTAAAAATCTTGATAATAAAATATTTGGTAAGTGAGATATTAGAAAATTTAAATCAACAATTAAATAAATAATCCTGACAATAGCTGCAGAAGTAATTTCTTTAGACTACATTTACTGCTTTAATACATTCAGGGACATTTCCGGGTGATAGTATAAAGTAAGTTCAGTCTAACATAAGCTGTTTTTTGTTTCTCGTCCAAGTTTTTCGTTCTAGATGTAGTAATAAACTTCCGGCGACTCAATGAGAAAGACCTGCTCACCCAGCTGGAGAAGATCCTGAAGATGGCCGAGGACGAAGACGAGCGCCTGCCTCCGATCGGACTGCTGAGTGCAGATGGGAGGACGGAGTGGGCGGAAGCGCGGAGCGCGCTCATGAAGGGTGAGTGGCGACCCGCGGCGGCGCGTTGCACGAACACTTGACTTGAAGCCTGCAGGCCTAGCAATCAAAGTGGTGATCAGAAAATTATTATTTACAATTTTCAAATTATATAGTAATATATTGTATAATTTGTTATGTAATTATATAATATTGTTATGCTGGAAGTGGTGTTAGTGGGGGTAGCAGGGGGTTCCTGTAGTCTGTGTGGGTCCTAATGCCCCAGTATAGTGATGGGAGACACTATACAAAAAAAAGGCACTGTCCTTCGGATGAGACGTAAAACTGAGGTCTTGACTCTGTGTGGTCATTAAACATCCCAGGGCGTTTCGTGAAAAGAGTAGGGGTGTTACCCCAGTGTCCTGGCCAAATTTCCCATTGGCCCTTACCAATCATGGCCTCCTAATAATCCCCACTAATAGCTGATGAGCGTACTGGCGCACTATGTCCATCGCATCATCCAGGTTGGTCCTGCACATTGGTACTGGTGGAGGAGAGTCCCCATAGCTATAAAGGGCTTTGAATGGACTGTCCAGTAAATCGCTATATAAGTGTAAGGAATTATTATTATATAGCACCTTCCGTATACATAAGAGGAGAAGTTAAAAATTGCTTCAATAATAGAATTATTGCTGGAGGTGAATTTTAGGGCGAAACAGTGGTGCAGCGGTTAGTCCTACAATCCAAAGACATACTGGTGGGGTCATTGACTGCTGGGAAAACTGTCCCTGGTGTGAGTGTGTGCATGTTTGTATCTGCGTCTGTCTGCACTGCAATGGACTGTCATACTGTCCAGAGTGAATCCTGCCTTGGACCTGTTGCTTGCTGGGATAGGTTCCAGTTCACCTGTGACCCTTTATTGGGTAAAGGGGGTAGAAAACAGATAGACAAATGGTTGGCTGAACTTTAATGAGGCCAGATTGTGTAAACCCAGAGTGGACCTGAGGAAGGACACCAGGTTTAACACTCCTAGTTTTACAAGCATGGGATCATTAATGACTGTAGATTCAGATGACTGTAGTCTCAACCAAAGGACAGTATTCCAGGTGTACCTTAAATACTGTATATCATTTTAACTCAAGCTAAATGTTTTATATGGACATTTTAACAATAAGAATATTTTAGATGATCTTATACTGTAATTAAGTTTTGCTAGGCTCAAGAGGACATGCATACTTCAATTAGTTTTTTTATAGATGTTTATACAGTATGTTGTATGGTTTTAACCATATGTATAGTACATGCTAAACATAGAGGACCTGAATCCGAAGTATATGCAGTATGTAGTTTAAGAAGTTTTATATTTCCATGCTCACAAGTTTTAACATTCACTACAAACACAAACAGCTGTAACACAATGCATCTCACACACACTATTAATCAATGTATTAAACCTGAAACTGCAATGTGTGTTGGGATCCATTAGATTCCACCAACAGAGACTCTCTTGACATGATTGAGAGATGTATCTGCCTGGTGTGTCTGGATGACCCCACTGGGAATGAACTCACTGATACCAATCGAGCTTTGCAAATGCTGCATGGAGGAGGATATGACAAGAACAGTGGGAATCGCTGGTACGACAAGCCGATGCAGGTAAGTGGGATGTTTCCTCATAGACGAGACATGATCTGCCAGTGTTTGAAAACTCAAACAATCCAAAGAAGAATGTCTAAATGAATATCTGTGTTTTAGTTTGTCATAGGAATGGATGGCTCCTGTGGTGTTGTATGTGAGCACTCCCCATTCGAAGGAATAGTGCTTGTGCAGTGCACTGAGTACCTGCTCAAGTACATGTAAGTCATTTTAGAGAAGTTCATTAGTCATCAAAAGTTTAGCATTTGTGTTAGTTCTCAAATACAAACACTTCACTTTTCAGCATGGAATAAACCTTTACTTGTTACTTTATATTGGAATTCCGCAGGTATCTCTGCATTCTCATCTTTTTATGATGCCTTAGCAAAGCAGATGCAGGTGACTTTGATTTGCAATCATGATGTAAAGTAAAGAAGATAGCAATGAACACCAGACAATCTTTAATGAGAAGTTAGAATGTCCATACTAGCTACTTACTCTCACACATATTTATGTAGCTTGCTTCTCTGTTTTTTATCTTCAGTTTAGCATGACCTGGCTGCTACTTTCCCCCTGCATATGGCTGTGTCCCAGCTACTAGGTCTCCACCAGCACATGGCTGCCTTGCTCTCCATTAGTTTAACTGTTTTTGAGAGCTCATTGGGCTTATGTCCTTCTGCTTCTTTCTCTGTTACTCTGGCCCTGCCCAGCAAAGGAGCAGCGGCCAAGCCAATAACATCCAACAGCCCAAAGTCAGGAGATACAGGCAAGAGCTGGCTAAGGCACCTATGTTTAGCCCAAGAGAGTAGAAGCTAAAAATGGAGAGAAGCCAAATGCATTTCTTTAACTAGTTAACTCCTGCAGTGTAAAGAGAATTATTTGACAGAAATATTCCTCCACTGAAAAGTGAAGGAAGGGAAGAGCTTCCATACTGTATCTGTTTGAGTGTGATACCAGTGTTTCTCCGGAGCTCCCCAAGCATTTTCAGTGAAGGTGCTGGTTCGTAAAGGCTGTACTGCTAATCTTGTATATCTTCAGAAGACGGGAAAGTCTCATTTGATTATTACCAATTCATTTAAATCCGAATCTCAGTTAAAAAAAAAATATATGGAAAATGAAAACCACGAGTGGTTACATACAAATTTATTGTATACAGTATATTGTATGTATCTCATAGGTGGGAGTATGGCTTTTCATATATGACTGTACATATATGTAATAAAACATTAGTCAAAATTATACCTCCCTAAAGAATTTTCTTTTAATAATCAAAGCCTTTTGCTTGAATATGATGCTGTGTTGTACAGGAAAAGCAGTCCTTCAAAGCTGGTCAGAGCGGCAAGTGTCAGTGAACTTCCTGCTCCAAGGAGATTACGCTGGAAATGTTCCCCAGAAGTCCAGGGGCTCTTAGCATCATCAGCAGACAAACTTCAAAGGTAGCTCCGTAAATTCCCCTCCCAGTTCTGATTCTGGGATGCATTACAGCATACAGGACAGGCATGAAGGCTTTTCTTGCCCATGAAACTACACATCAATCTCTTCATGTTGCCAGGGAACAAAGTTAGCTTGTTTTTCTGGTAGAATAAAAGCTTCACCGCTGTCACGCTAGGTGCCCTTGACAGATTAAAAGCCATATTTGTAAAGCCAACTGAGTTACTATAGCCCATTTTGAGTACACATCAAAAACTACTGCAAAAACTTCAGTGAAAAAACCTTTTTCTAACAGTATTACCTGGTGTTGTATAATACAAGGAGTAAAACAGAATTAAAGAATTTTAGGTGTTTATTAAAACCCTTAAAAACTGTTCAAGGTGAGCCACCACTTATAAAAACAATTCCACTTTATTATCTATGTATTGAAAGCAGTTATAACATCAGTGATGATGGCTCTGTCTTTTTTAAACAAAAATGCTGTTCTTTTTGTAGTTTATTTAAAAAAAAAACAGCATGGCCAAAGTTTAAGTACATTTCAGGTTTGGAAATTACATTTGTAATGAATAATTCTCAGACTGATGTATGTGAACATAGAATCTAAAAATGCAGAACCCTTAAGAGGTTCATTGAATGGATGACTTCTGACATTCATTTTCATGTTGTATAATTCAGTTTCATGCTGACATTTTTGCTGGTTGATCTGCAGTTCTAGAGCCCTATTTTGAAATAAACGTTTTTATCAAAGTCATTCTTTGTTAGTTACTGTATAAATAATCCATTTCATTTGACTTCTCAACCCTAATTATCATAACATATATTAAAATCTATGACATATTTACATTGCCACTATTTTTTTTAAACAATCGTGTTTATTATTTTAATACTTTGCTGTTTTTTCTTCTAGGTTGGTGAGAAACCTGGACCTGAATGCATATACATTTAAGGTTTATGGCAAAGAATACATAAAGAAACAGAAAATGAGCCCAGACGCTTATATTCAGGTTGCTCTGCAGCTAGCATTTTACAGGTAAAACATGTTTTTAAATTTGACTGGTGTAATAATAGCTTTTATTTCAATGATTTGTCAGCAAAGCATAAAATTAAGAAGCATTTACCAAGTAAAAGTTATATTGTGGGATGTATTCTTATAGAACGTATAAAAAGTCTACACACTCTTACTGAATTTACAGGTTTTTGTGATGTAAAGCCAGAAATCAAGATAAATCATGTCAGACATTTTTCCATCTTTAATGTGACTTTGCAACCCAAAAAATTCAAGAGAAAAGCAAATAGATAATTATTAGGAAAAATAATTTAAATTTAAAAACCTACAACACCCTGGTTGCATAAGTGTGCACCCCCCCACCCAACTAATACTTTGTGGAAGCACCTTTTGCATTTATTACAGCGGTCTTTGTGAAGAAGTCTCTATCAACTTTGCACACCTGGAATTTGCAATTTTATCTCACTCTTCCTTGCAAAAAAGTCCAAGCTCCTTCAAATTGCCAGGGGATCTCCTGTGCACAGCCCTCTTTAGGTTATTCCACAGGTTTTCTATGGGGCTGTGGTCTGACTGGGCCATTCCAAGACTTTGATCTTCCTTTTCTGAAGCCATTCCTCTGTTGACTTGGATGTGTGCTTTGGGTCATTATCATGTTGGAAGGTGCAATTCCTCTTTATTGTCAGCTTTCTGACAGAGGCTAGCAGGTTTTGTGCCAAAATATCTTGATATTTGGAGCTAGTCATGATCCAATCTATCTTGACTAGAGAGCCCCTGTCCCAGCTGAAGATAGGCGGCCCCAAAGCATGATGCTGCCACCACCATGCTTCACAGGATGTATGGTGTTCTTTGGATGATGAGCTGTGTTGTCTTTGCGCCAAACATATCTTTTAGAATTAAGGCCAAAAAGTTCAAATTTTGTCTCATCAGTCCATAAGACATTTTCCCACATTGTTTGGGGTGATTGAATGTATTTTATTGCGAAAATTTAGATGGGCTTTACGCACATTTATGAGAAATGGCTTCTGTCTTGCCACCCTTCCCTATAGCCCAGACATGTGCAGAATTCAGGAGATTGTTGTCACCTGCCAGATATTCCTGCAGCTCCTTTAATGTTGCTGTAGGCTTCTTGGTAGCCTCTGATAAGTTTTCTCCTTGTCCTGTCATCAACTTTGATGGGGTCATCCTGATCTTGGCAATGTCCCTGTGGTGCCACAGTTTCTCCACTTATTGATGATAATCTTCACAGTGCTCCATGTTACATCCAATGCCTTTGATATTCTTTTATACCCCTCTCCTGATCGGTACCTTTCAACACTAAGATCCCATACAGTAGATGTTTTGTCAGCTCTTTGCGGAGCATGGCTATCCCAGTAGGATGCAATCACAAAAGTTTCAAGGAAATCTTACAGGAACAGCTGATTTTTATTTGGGGTTACTCAGAAACACTTTCATTGATGGCAGGAGTATGCTACAGTACTTACCTTTGGACATGATTTTGAATGTGACTGGTTAACCCTGAACACAGCTACAGCACCCATTATAAAAGGGTGTGCAAACTTATGCAACCAGGGTTTTTTTATTTAAATTATTTTTCCTAATAATTATCTATTTGTTTTTCTCTTGAATTTTGTTGGTTGCAAGGTCACATTAAATATGGAAAACTGTCTAACGTGATTATCTTGATTTCTGGCTTTCCATCACAAAAACCTGCAATTTCAATAAGGCTGTGTAGACTTTTTATGTCCACTGTACAGTACATATTTTGCTGTGAAAAAAGATCAATCAGCCATTTGGAACACAGTAAAATTGGCTGTAGTTGAATGCATAAACAATATTATTTTTATTTACATTATTGCATTGTGTTGCAGTGAGCCATCACACCTCGTAATCAAGCAAGCTTGATGGACCAAATGGCCTGTTGTTCATAGCCTTTCTTATTCTTGTAATTTTTCAGTTACTGTACATTACAGCCTAACAGGCTTTCAGCATAGACCAAGGGCTAAATGAATAAGAGTAATAAAAAAGATCTGTGCTATCTCAGAGCATTTAAGATGTAGCACACTCGTTGCCTGCCTTCCTTCTTGTTGCTGATGTGCACAATATGATATGAAACAAAATTAAATAATGCCTTAAGAATAATGCATCACTGCTAAACAAGTTAGCGCAGAATTAGAGCTGAAGGCTGCTTGTCTTTATTATCGTTTGTGCAGATGTCATGGAAAGCAAGTGTCAACCTATGAAAGTGCTTCCATACGCCGTTTCCGAGAGGGACGAGTGGACAACATCCGTTCTGCTACCGCCGAAGCCCTAGTGTTTGTGAAAGCAATGACTGATGGGAAGACGTCTGTCCCTGTAGGCCACATTGCTTACATTGTCCTAATTAAGCCTCTGATCGTGCTCACTAGCTTGGTCGTTGTTCTATGAAATTTACATTTGAATTTAAGGTGTAATACTGTATATTACTGCACACCTTTAGATCTCCCTCTGTATATGAGTGTCTAACTTTTTCTAGAATGCAAAACTTACTACTTCAGTATGTACTCTGGGACAGCATCTACTTTAGACTTGCTTTTAAAAAATATTATTTTTTTGTATTTTATCTGTGTGTGTAATGTTCTTACAATTCCAAAATATTACAAAAAAGAAAATATCAACATGTTATTGTTATTATTATAATATCAACACAATTTATTAAATACAGTATGCTATAGATTATAGGTTTGCTTGTTTAATAGAACCAGCATTATTCTCGGCAGATACAACAGAATATCAGAACAAGAAGAATATCATCTGAAAATGTTGTGCTTATACAAATAATTCTGTTCTTAAATAATTTCTGTATTTTTATTTTTCTTTTTTTCTTGACAATCCATTTATCCATTTAATGATTCTGCCTTTTGGTCTAACTGGGGTACGGAAACTGACTTGTACTTATTTGTCCAGGATTCTGATAAGATGCAGAGACTGTGGGATGCAATTAGCACACAAACCAATTATACTATCCTTGTGAGTATTATGAACATTTCCTCTGCCTGTACGATCATTTCTCTTCATAATAATAACGGTGGTTTTTGAATCCAAACCAACATTTTTCTTCTATACCAGTCATGTTGTTTAATGCATTTTAAGGACATAGGTGGGATATTTATGACGGAAGTCATTTTGAAATCAAATTAAAAGTAGAAAGTCGTAACCATTGACATCGTAAATTGAAAATGGCCAGAATTTTATCTTTTCAAAACTCTTCAATAAAACTAATACTATTATCTTAATTCGAGCTTCCTGCACATTCTTCTAGGCTATTACTGGGATGGCAATAGACAATCATTTACTTGGACTGCGAGAGGTTGCTCAGGAACTGAAAATGGAAAAACCAGAGATATTCATTGATGAAACCTATTTAATAAGCAATCGCTTCATCCTCTCAACTAGTCAAGTGAGTTAATTTCTATTAATGTTAATTATGATTGACAGTTCATCATCACTAGGCATTTACAGTAAGCAGCAGTAGGACTGGGACGGTGCTGTAGCTCTTCCTTAAATGAAAATTTTTGTGCTATCAAATTCTTGTCTGCCTCTCAGGTTCCCACCTCTGTCCAGATGTTCTGCTGTTATGGTCCTGTGGTTCCCAATGGCTACGGCGTATGTTACAACCCCCAGTCAGACCACATTATCTTCTGCGTTTCCAGTTTCAAGGACTGTAAGGAAACCTGCTCCACCAAGTTTGTCAGGGCCCTGGAAGAGAGTCTGGTTGAGGTGAGGGACCTGTGCAGTAAGTATAACAAAGCAGCCAAGCCCACCAGTCTGAAGGAAGGAGCTGCAAAACCTGTTAAAAATGGAAGCAAGCCATAATATTAAGCAATACTAAGGGATGATCTGTTCATTTTTCGGTTCACGGATACTGCAGATCATTCACGAGTATCAAGCTAAAATGTCAACAAGTAAAAGGTCGCTCTTTATATTTCCTCATTAACGCAACATACATTTTAAGTAGTAAACCTAATCCCCTCTTTATTGTGGGGCATTCATCATATTTTAAAACATATAGTATATTTAATATTGTGAGAAATATATTTATCTAGCTATAGGTTATTTTATTACACATGTGATTAAAAGTTTAACTGATGCAACAGAGGTAGTTTTGCTGTATTATCACCATTCAAAAAGTGTCCAGCACAGCAGGATCTGTGTCAACATTTCCATGACCTGGATGTGAGCCCAGGGCACAAATGATGGAAGAAACCCATTCAAATTCACGGCGGGCGTTTGTGTGAGCAGGGGCAGGGAAATCAGTGTTGTCAACTTTGACTTCCAGCAGGACTGGATGCAAAGGCACAACAATGTTTAACACCAATAATAATTGTAATGAATGAGTCGTTCCCTGTATTTATTGTACATACCGCTTTGCATCCCTGACAGTCCCACAGCGCTTCGCTTTCCAAACTCTATCTGCCACTGTAGTGTCGCCCCACCTTGGTGTGGCCCTCTACCGCAGATGAGGAGGAGAAACGAGAGATTATCCTCAGATGAATTAAGTGAGGCCAGATTGTGCAAACCCAAGTGGGAATTAACCATGGCACTGTGGTAACACCCCTACACTTGCAAAATGTGCTATGGGATCTTTCATGACCAGGTGGTCAAGACCTCAGTTTAATGCATCATACGAAGAACAGCGTTTCCCGTAGGGTAACGTCCTCACTCACCATTCTTCTGGGGCCAGAGCCCTTTGGATCACTTCCCCCCGCTGCCTTAAGTAAAGTATGGATCAATTATTCTGTTAGGATATGTTAGAGTATGTGATGTGAAACTGAGGTCTTGACTACCTGGTCGTTGAAGAGCTTCTCGGCTTGTTTGTACAGT